GGATGGCAGAGTAGAGGCTGTTGCTTCCTCTCCCCCCCCCCTTTCCTGCCGCTACAGCATCTCCTTTCCCAAAGCCCCCCGGGGGTGGCTGAATTGGGGGAAACTCCAGTACCTGAAACTGGGGGGCGAGGCGAGGTGCAGCCCCAAGAACGGGGAGGATCCGGTCGGGGACGTGGCTCCTTTCTCTCTCTCCGCCATTCTCCCTCTCCATGCAAGCGAGGTGGGTGGGGGGGAGGCGGAGGGGAGGCTGCTGATGCTGGCTGGCAGGCCGGTAGGCGGGCAGGGCGAAGGGAGTGTTCACAGCCAGACAGCGATTAGTCGTTACCGGAGCGGGCGCGGATGGCGGTGGCGGTTGCTGGCGCGGTGGCGAGAAATGGGGTGGGAGGGAAGAGGGTCGCCAACCGTGCCGAATGGGCGGGGGACGGAGAGGGGCAGGCAGAGGTGACCACGAGCAACTGCAACAAGACGGAGGTCGCCCCCACTGCCAGGCTGGAATACAGCAGCCTCCCCCCCCAACTTCCCTCCTTCCTCTTGCCAAGAGCAGGTGAAGCTACTGCTCCCCACCCCCACCCCAAACCTCGGCCAAGCGGGTGGTCTGCAAGGTTGGGGGAAGGGGGTGAAGAGAGCGGAGCAGAAGCACCTGTGAAGGAGCGGCAGAAAGGTGGGAAGCTGCTGTGGAGCCTGAGTGCCCGGCAGGGTGGGGGGGGGGAGGAGAGGAAGACCCAGTGGCAGAGAAGCAGGTGGGGTGAATTGCGCGGTGCCAGTGGGGCCAGGACCCGAGCAAGCCGAGGGGAGACCCCCAGGAGTGAGGATAGTGGTGGTAGTGGCAGGGAAAGAATCCTAAAAATAAATTGTTTTATTTGTATGCTGCCCAGAGTCGCTTTTCAGGGTGAGATGGTGGGGTATAAATTTAATAAATAAAAGCTTCCGATGCTAATAACAAGAACCTCATAAAAGCCTCAAATAAAGTCGTCGTCATCATCCAACAGCAGAGATGAATCTTGAATCAAAAGCCAGACGGAAATCCCTCATCCCTGCCCCCCACCCCCAAAAAAGGACCCAGCTCTGCTTCCGTGAAATTTACAGAATTACTACAGGGGAGAGGTTGTAGAGATCAGCAAAGGATGGGAAGTATGGTGGTTGAGGGAGAAAAAGGCCAATGTGCACAAATGCAGCAAGAAGTATACAGGGGATATCATCTCTAATATCTATTTATTTGTTAGATATATATCTCGCTCTTCCTTCAGAAGCTCAAGGCAATATACAAAGGCTTCCTCCTCCAGGTTTTTCCTCACCACAGTCTTCTGAGAGAGTGATTGATCCAAAATTACTAAACTGAAGGTGGGTTTGAACCTGGCTCTCTCCAGTCTAGTCTAGCACCTTAACCACTATACCACCCAGCCCTCTTATCTAGGCAACACACAAAACTCTACTATCCCACATTGACCACCCTACCCCACATCCTTTCAATTACACCATGAGGCTGAGATTAAGCACAAAATCGGAGTCCAGCCCCAGATTACCCAGATCTTTCTGATCTGGACAGATTAGAAAGTTGAATCTACAACCTCAGTTTTATATTCTATATAGGGTTTTAATTGACAAGGATTGATGAACTGATGGTTTTTTTCCATTGGTGAACTGATATTGTCTACAGCCATCCTTAAATTGACAGAAAACTATAGTTATAAACTATAAAAAGTGCCATCCCTGTTGCCAGTTCTAATCTTGCCTTTACTGCCTATGCCTCAAAAAATAAATGAACAAGTATAATTTTTGACTAATTTCTTTAATTGGGTTCTTTCATGGAGTCAGATGTTTAGACTGGATTTGACATTTTTATCCACTTACTGAGTCCTTCCCAGGGACCTGGGATAGGCAGATGCTGTTGTTTGATAGGCTCAGAGGTATCATCATAGGAAGTAAGCTGTTCCAAGTAAGGCTGCCATTTTGCAATTGACTGAAGGTGATTTTGTCAATGCTGGATGGTGTTCAAGTGGATGCTCCAAATGTTTTGGAATTGCATCCAAGCCGTATCTATTATTATTAATACTATCTTTGATTTCTTTTATCAGTCATTCTACTTCAATTTGCAGGTCTTTGTATTTTGTGATTTTCTCCAGTTCTTTCTCTTCTCTTCTGCCGTCTCCAGGTATTAAAATGTTCTCTGTGCAGACTTTTTGTCTTTCTCATCAACAGTTAAGTCAGGGTATTGTGTGGCAGATGCTAATATTATTATTAGTTTCCCAAGTGGTTAACATAACCCATTTCTCCTAATGTCTTCTGCAAATGGTCTTAGCATCTAAAAGGTACACTAAATGGATTGTTTTTTATTTCAAGGTAAACCCATTCTGAAAATCCTAGAAGGTATCTGAAGTACTAATGCAGTTTTCAATTTCCTTATGCACAAATCTTATGGTTTTAATATCAATGTAACAGTGGTCTCATCATTTGAGGCTTCTGGAATCATTTGACATTTTAAGAACATGTGACTGCCCTTGCTGGACAATCTTTATTCATTCACGAAATGAAAGCCTTAGCGATCCTAGTAATTAAGAAGCAGCAATTTATCAGAATCCTCCTTATCATCCCCTAGCCCTGGATTCGTCTACCATTCTTGTTCACCTTTGCTCTTTGTCTAGGCATGTGGGCACAATTCCAACAATACATTAAGCTACACCCACTCATCATTTTCATTAAGAAACAATGGCTCAGAGGCATTCTTACAATGGCTCAGAGGCATTCTTACAAATAAAACTACAGGTAGTCCTTGATTTACGATAACAATTGAGCCCAAAATTTTTGTTGTTAAGTGAAACATTTATTAAGTGAATTTTGCCCCATCATACCTTTCTTGCCACAGTTAAGTGAATCATTGCAGTTGTTAAGTTAGTAACACAGTTGTTAAGTGAATCTGGCTTCCCCATTGACTTTGCTTGTAAGGAGGTTGCAAAAGGTGATCACATGACCCCAGGACACGGCAAACATCGTGAGTCAGTTGCCAAGTGTCTGAATTTTGATCATGTGACCATGGAGATGCTGCAACAGTTGTAAGTGTGAAAAAAGGTCGTAAGTCATTTTTTTTCAGTGCCGTTGTAACTTTAAACAGTCACTAAATGAACTGTTGTAAGTCAAGGACTACCTGTACCACTGGACTCTGAATCTTTGTAGCATGCCAGCTTCCTATTTTTCTTAATTTAAAAGATTTTTAAATGTTTGAAGTCAGATGAGTGAATTTATAAGGCACCAAAGGAGGTGTCTCTGGCTACATTTATGGTCCTGGATGCCATGTTGGGCCATCTATCATTCCATATATTAATATTTCAACTTTTATTTAATATATTACCTTCTTCTGGAGCATACGGTTTGACTTCTGACTAACTGACTTAATTACTGGAATTACCAACAACTTAAAGCTTATGAAGTTTCAGGTCATTATTCTTTGACTTCTATGAATCCAGCAAGCAATTTCAAAAATCATTGATAATCACTCCAAAGCTTTGGTTGGTCATGGCAATATCTTTGCAAACATTTCCTTCATTGCAGGTTATTTCAGGACAGCCAAGGAAGGTTGTTACTCTTGAAAGTCTAACTTAAATAATAATTCTGGGACTCCATTAATAAAGTCTGTGGTAAAAAGATAAATTCAATAAGAATTTAAAATATAATCCAAGCTTTCAGATGTTTTTTTTTAATTTGCTCTGAAAGTGTAAGAGTTTGGGCATTCTTCAAAAACTTCATCTCACCATAGCAGCTGAGAAGCAACTTAATTGCATGGTAGGATCCGAAGAATTTTGTATTCTTCAAAAGATGGAAAACAAAGTTGAATGATGGATAGGAGGAAGGCTTGGACAAAAACAAAGCGATTAGTCAAGACAAAACAATCTTTAATTTCAGAATATTTTTAAAACAGGTTACTCAAGCCACTTCTAGCACTGAAAAGCATTCCTGTGTAGCTATATTGTGTTCTCAGTTATCCATTTATTTATTTCCCTATAGTTCAAATTTCAGCTCAAATACAAATTCAGTTTGAGTTACTTCCTCCTGTGTTCTTTAAGTTCATGTTTCTCAATCTTGAGAACTTTAAAATATGTGGGCTTCAACCCCCAGAATTCTCCATTCAACATATTGGCAGAGGAATTCCAGGAGTTGAAGTCCACATATATTAAGTTGCCAAGGTTGAGAAACAATGATGTGAGCCATCATGTTTGTGATAACCTTTGATTAATTTAGAGATGAGGAAGATTTTTTGACCTTCATGGAGGCTAGTGGGGCACAGCTACTGATTGTGATGTCACTTGAGTAAGCAACAACATTGGAGATTGGATGAATTTAATGGACAAAAAGGATCATTCTTAAGCCTCTTATGCCTTAAATTCCCATAGCAGGACAACTGCCCCAATTTTTGAAGTCTTAAGAGTTTCTAAGAAGTTACTAGGGGTCGTTCAGTTTGGCAGAGTTTATTGGCAATAAATACAAAACAATATTGATTCAACTATTGAATTCATTGTTGAGGATAAAACGTACATAATATAGTTACTGTACAACATCTGTAAAAAGCAACAAAATATTTTGAGCCAAAATTGAAGAATTAAATTTATACTGTAGAACATGCATCTTTTTCCAAGTTGTGGTAAGAAACAGGAACATATTTTTAGGGCATCAAATAATGCAGATTAATTACCCTCTATGGAAGAGTCAAAAATGACAGTTTAGCAAATAATGATAGCAACATGAAGTTAGAAAATATTTTGACCTATGCAAATTTATCCAAGGATTATACTGGATAAATAGCTTTAAAATAGTTTGTAAAATTGCTGTTGTTGTTCAATCACTTCTGTCTCTGATCTGATGAATTCCATTTTGCCAGGATTGTCTATAGTAACTGTTTTGAGTTTTTGTAAACTCTTGTTTGGGTCATTATGTATATATTTGGGTCATGGTGATATCTAGCCACCAGGTCTTCTGAAAGTTTCTTTTTTTATTGCCTTTGATTTTTCGAAACATAAGGGTCTTCTCCAATTATTCTTGCCTTTACATTCTGTATTCAAAATACTAAGCTTTAGTCTCATTGTTAGTGTTTCCAATAAGCAGATTTTACTTCATCTAGTATTATTTTTATTTCTGGCAATCCAAATAAATTATTTTCTCCACCACACTGCATTTTTCTTCGTTAAAACTTTCTGATAGTCCATCTTTCACAAATGTATTAAAACTGATATCTCTGCATGTCAAAATTTCTGTCGACCTATTAGTCATTTTCCCAAGTAGCAGGTACTTATTTTATGGCAACAGTCATTATCTCTCTGAATTTTTGAGCCTAGGGGGAAAAATTGTTACTGTTTCAATTTCTTCTCTACAGTATTTGCATTGGGTCAGTATTACATGACATAGTCCAGGGGTAGGCAACCTTGGCTCTTTTATGACTCGTGGACTTCAACTTCCAGAATTCCTGAGCCAGCTTGGCTGGCTCAGGAATTTTGAGAGTTGAAATCCAAGAGTCATAAAAGAGCCAAGGTTGCTTACCCCTGACATAGTCTTAAGATTTTTGTTTTTGTTTAATAATCAGCAGCTGATTGGCTTTCCCACTCTCTTTTCACCTTCAATAATCAAAGAGGAATTATCAAATTAATCGAATTAAGGTGACAGTTTACAACCTTGGTACATTTTGTCAATTTTGAAATATTTTGTTGCTTTATATTTTATAGTTGCTGCTTCTTGGTTATCATACAGATTCTTCAATAGGGAGATGAGATGTCTCAATATAGCAGTTTTTAAGGGGTATGCACCTTGTGCTGTATTCTACACAGCCCAAAACAGTAGTATAATCAATATAGTAAAAACGTGAGACTGATATTGCTGCTAAAGGTGGTTCTACAAACTATTGAATCATGCACACATGGCTTCTCTATTTTGGCTTTCTTTTTGTAAAATAAATGATGACATGGTGTAATATGTCATGTAAAGTTGTTCATCTGAGGTTGTACTTACCTATTTTAAGAACTGCTAAGGACCAGATGATTTTTACTATGTCCTGATATGTAAAACCATAGAACTCAAAGAGAGTGTACTTTCTTTTTCACATCACTGTAGGTGTCCAGTATATCTTTTTTGTTTCAGAATAACATGATTGGAAGATAAACACTTTAGTAAACATTAAATTTACTATTTTTAGTACCTTCAAATTGGTCACTGTTGTTCCAGTACTGTGCTTTTGTAGAAGCAATAAATACTGGTTTAATGATATTTTTTTACAGATGTGATTCATCTATAATATTATCTGTATACATGTTTAGTGGTTGCATGGAGTGTTTAAATGGAATTACTAGGAGCACCATGAAATATTTTGCATGGTTCATCCAAGTTCTTCCTAATAAACAATGACAACAGAACAAGTAATGATGTGCTAAATGAAGCAAGAAGGATATATCATTTGAAGTACCTTGAATAAACTTGCAAATGAGCAAGTCTTAGCTCCAGATTTTCCTTGACCAATTCCCTAATCTGAAGAAAGGCACGTATTTGTTCACTGAGATTTTGTTTATTAACAAAACTTGTTCACTGCATCTTTCATAAGAGATTTAGAGTCCTTGTGTATTGCACATTCACATGCTCAACAAATGAAATTGCTGTTCAATGTTGTGATTTTTCTTACAAAAATACTTCCCATTAGCCATTCTGTGAGATTGTTTTTGTCTCATCAGTTTCCAAATTCAGGCTGAAAAGAAATAAGAAAAAAGAAAAGAAATAAGAAATCTAAGGTTATTGGGCAGTTTGCTCACAAGCTGAGAACGTAAGTAGAGAATACAATGAAAATATCTTTATCTACATATATTTACCACTGTCATGAAGAAAAATTGTGATCCAAATGAGTTTGTTCATTTATGGAAAAAACCCACCAGCTGAAAACCATGTAGTTATTAAACAATGGTATCTGCAGTCGATTGTCTTTATTTGTTTGCAAATTCGGCTACTTACTAAATATATTTGTTACTATAAAATCAATAGGGTACTTGAGGCACTTTCATTTGTGAATATACAGAGTGGTTAAAAAAATGAGTCATCCAATGCACAAGTTCCCAACTGAGGTTTCAGTATTCGCTAATTAAGTATTCGCTAATTGCAGTGACTTTTAAAAACACAACTACAGGTAGTCCTCATTCAGTGATCATTTGAAATTACCACAGAGTTGAATGAGAGGACTTATGACCATTTCTCAGAGTTGCAGCCATTGCAAGCAGCCACATGATTGCGATTGGGCACTTGGCAACTGGCTCACTATTAAAATGGTTATAATGTTCCATGCTCACATGTTTACTATTTATGACCCCTATTTCTGGCTTCCAATAAGCAAAGTCAATGGGGAAGATGGCAGGAGGTCACAAATGGCAATCACATGATCAGAGGATGCTGTGACCGTGTGAAATTCTCCTATCAATAGCAACAGATACCACTGCCCATGACTTTACAAACACATCCATTTAGCAATGGAATTGCCGGTCCCAATTATCCTTATTAAGCGAGGGCTACTTTTACCGTGAATAATGAGCATACTCTGTATTTTGAAAAGTCTCAAATATGAAAAAATAAACACTCCTAACCACACATTTACACTCTATATAAGTCAAGACAGAAAAGAAGACAAGATGAAAGTTAAAGATTTGGGAGAGATTTTAACATGTACAAAGAGGTAGTAATATGGATGTTGCAAAGCAGTGATTAACAATCTAATGCAACTAAGAAGTTATATACTGGAAATATGAAAAGTAGGAGATAAGAAAGAAAACTGGAGCTAGATAAGGAGCCTAATGGTGAAGAGAGTTTCTGAAGACAATTAAAAAGATGTGTAATGAGAAACATGATGTGGGCAAAAACTAGAAAAGCAAGAAATGAACAAATGACAATGACAATATTCAATCCTTGCAGTAGAGGGCAATAAAACCACAGCAATTTTGTAAGGATGAGCATTTTTGGCTGCTAAAAGTGTAGAATCACTGAAAACATTCCAAAATCTCAGGGAGAAGGAGCAATGAAAGCATTCCCAAGGAGAAAAATGTAACATTTATTCTAAATTATAGAACAATAATCTAGGATAGCATCCATTTCCCCCCTCCCATTTTAAAAAGGAAAACAAGAAGGAAAAGAAAACGTGACTGTATAGAGAGATTAAAAAAAAGGGGAGGAATAACAAGAATGTTTAAAATGAGAGAACAGAAAGCAAGGATGTCATATGCATTCTTCAAAAATATTTGTACAATACCTTTGTTAACTCATTGATTCTCTGCCCAATTTATACATGTAATATTACTGTAAGGATAAAAATGAAGTAACCTTCATGTAAACCCTTTTGAGATCTTAGAGGAAGGCAATATTTACATGCTATGAATGAATGAATGAATGAATGAATACTTTATTTGGCAATCAAAATGTAAAAACTAAGCTGCTAGTATATAAACATATTTCTGCTTCAAGAAAGGAAAATAAAAAACTAACTCTCAACGGAAACATATTAGCATCAAAGAACCAAATTTGAAATAGTCTGCCTTCTGCAGACTCCCTTTAAGTCCCAACTTGTCAAAGTCTCTAACAAATACTTTTAAATAAAAGGAAACACCTAAACCAGAAGTGGGGAAACTATGGCCCCTTTATGACTTGTGTACATCAACGCCCAGAATTCCTTAGCCATTGTTTCTTAAAGTGGGGTTCAAGGACCTCTAAGGGTCCATGAAATCAAAATTATTTGCCAGCCTATGTTACAATATAATACAATATTAAAATTCCATCAAACAATTATGAGAAGCAGTGATAGCAGGATTGATTTCAATTTTTAATATTGTAAAAATTCAGAAATATAATCCATACAAACAAAAGCTCTTTTATGGTCCTCCATAATCTTTAAAAATGGGAAGGGGTCCTGAAAGAAAAAACCTTAAGGAAGTTTAAGAAAGAAAGTGACGTAAACAAATTAAAGAAATGTCTGTCTCCGTGTCCATGCTGTTATTAAAAAGGCAACAGAGCCCCTCTTTGAGGGAGATGGGCTGTTCAGAAATATGAAATATAAATACATTTATTGTTTTAATGATGAAAGTGGCTATAATTGGCAGTTTCAAAATGAGATATTGTATAATGAATATTAAGTAATAAAATTTCTGATCATTACCAAAAATGCTCATCCCAATTGGGCTAGTAGACTAAAAGAAAAAAGGATATCAGCTGAATCCACTAACCTATAACAATGTGTCTATTTTTTAAATAATAACTGCAATTAAGGAAACACAAAACAAAAACTTTAAAATGCTAGTAGAAGTCATATTTTTCAATATTTTATATGGAACATCAACTCTCCTAACTTCTAATATTACATTGATATTAATTTACATTCAGATGTTAGGTAATCTAAGAGAACCCAATAGTTCCTCAGATTTTCCTTTTATATTTTCTGTATTCTTTGCAGTGCCCAAAATAGAACAGTTACAACTATTCCTGTGCAAACTCTCAATACGGAAAAAGTTTTGACTCTGAATGTACTAAATAAACGAGAAGGATCATATGTAAGACCTTCGCTCCTTCTGATCATTTTGTATTGCAGAATGTTCACAAAAGTGTCACTTCTGATTAAGTTTTTAGAAAAATGAAACAAAAGTATTTCTTTCTGACAAGCAATTGTGATTGCACAGGTCATATACGTACTAAGAAAAAAAATAACTTTAGACTCAATATTTAATAGTGGGAAGACAACAATCCTGGGAAATTTCTAAAAACCCTACATTGTAAACCTGAGAGTAAATCTAAGGCAAGGATAGCAATCTGGAAGACTTTCCTCTTGCAGCCCCATTCTGTAGTTCCCATGCTGCTGAATTTCTGCAGAACAATGCAAAATTTGAAAGGATAATTTAATTGACACCAAACGTAGAAACCAGAGCCATTAAATTCTGTTTATGAAGTAATGTACTTATCTTCCCTCAAAGTAACATTCCAAAAACTAGGGAAGCAGGCTCAAAATTTTACCTTCCTCCTCAATCCTTTGGGCTGTCCCTTTTATATCTTTGCACTGTTGTCTCAAAGCAGGAAACAATAAAAATCCAAATTATTTGCTCTAGTCCAGGGGTGTCAAACTCAATTTCATTGAGGGCCGCATCAGCATTGCAGTTGCCCTTGGGGTGTGTGTGTGGCCAGGGTGGGTGCGGCCTACTGGGTGGGCATGGATGGAGTGGGTGTGATCTACTGGGTGGGCATGGCGAGCTCTACATCGTTCACGTCAAGGGTGCCTGTGGGGGTCTGGGCAGAAGTGGGACAGATCTGAGGGTCTCTGGCAGAAGGGGGTGGGACTGGGGCAAGCGCCAAGGCATGGTCCATTTCTTCATTCCTCACAAAGGGTGACACCTCCCCAGCATGCACCCAGGGGGTGGGGCCGACGCAACGGGCTGGTTCCTCGCTGTTTCTAGACAGCCTTGTGGAGCTAAGACTGAATGCATTTCAGCATAGATGGCCACCACAAAATTGTACATTGGCTCCTGGCTGGCCTGGGCCAGGACCAGGGCCAAGGCAGTGGGGGCCGTTCCCTCACTGTTTCCAGGATGGCTTCGCGAGCCACATGAAACCACTTCGCGGGCCGCATCCGGCCCCCAGGCCTTGTGTTTGACATGTCTGCTCTAGTCCCAAATATCTAACATTCACAGCATAACAGAATAACAGAGTGGATCTTGGTGGTCTTCTAATCCAACCTGTAGCTACTTACTTGCGAAAGTTCTTGTTGTGGTTTCTTTGATACCTGATGTACCATCATCCTAACTCTTTTGTAGAGCTCTTCACTATTGTCTTCCTCAGCGTCACATTTCCGTTTTGGAGAAGTCTGGCTACAGTGGGACTGCCTTAGTGCTGTAAAAAGACAAGTATAACAGCTGCCATTAGGCCACTTCTCATCTTCTAGAATCTCAAGAATTGTCATTTAAGCTTTCAAGTGTTTACCATGCTAGGCAGAAGATACATATATACTAACTATATGGGAAAATGCAGGAGAAAGAGCCTTAGTTGTAGATTTCTGTTTACCATTGTGCTTCAGAGTTTCTTGCTGAAGGTGGTACCATGTTTTTTTTTCTCTTTCCCTTCTATTAGAATACACAAACCATTCCAAGAGATTTGTTGAAGCTATATTAAAAGTGAAAGTGTTGTCTAATGATAATGAAAAGTTGTATAATTTGTGGAAAACACTTGCTCACTTGTATTGCTGCAGCTTCCATGGACTGAAGAAAGGTCTGTGGTTATATTACTGAAGTCCTCTATACAGGATGGGACAGAGGCCAATAAACCTGAAAAAATGGCATCTGTATTAGAGAGCAGGCCTACTTTTTCATTATAGCTTAAATATATATATTCACATATACATTAATAAAAGAGAAAGTGTGTAGCTCAGGGTTGAACTGTGGGATCCTTGGTGCTCTCTGAGGCTGGTTGTTTTCTTACAGATGTTTCAATATCAAACTAAGTAACATCCTCAAGAGTTGATGGGATTGATCTTGGCGGTTACTTGATTAGGCTGTTGTTTACTGTTAGCATGTTTATCTGAGTTGGTAGTTCCTTGATTAGGGTATTGTTATTTTTTGATTGTTGATTTAGTGTTAATCTTGGTGTTAATCTCTGTTCATCTGGGTGTTGACATCAAATAAGAGCAAACCCACTCCCTTTTAGCACTGATGCTGTTACCTAGTTTGGCAATGAAATGTCTGCAAGAAAACAGCCAAGCTCAAAGCAGCAAAGATTCCACAAACACACACTAACTTATATACCTGGATCGAAATCACTAAAGTCTCAGGTGTTGGTTTGTCTCATAGAACTGGAATTAATTAAGCAATTTTCACTAGGATTAAACAGAGTTGGCAGGAACTATATTAGGCCAGATTCTCTCAAGTGAATGGGGCTTTGGATCCAGACTACCTCAGACCCAATCCCAAAGTAATCTATTTTCAGGCCTAGTGATTTACAGTAACAGAACTTTCAATACTATAAAAGCAGTCACCAGAATGGAGGCATTTCCTGTTAGAGCCTCTCTACTTGGATGAAAAGTCTTTTCTTGCTTGTGCATCACCCATTCAATTTGGGTAATGGAAATATATTATGAATGCATTGCTTAATATCTATTAAACTTTAAGAATGTCTTATAAACTGAGGACTGCACTAATTTCCATATTTAATACAATGGTGGTAGATCTAAACAAATCTAAGAATAATTAGCATTATTTTAATCCAACCAGTATATTAACCTAGTTAACTAGGAAGCTAAAGATTTCATATCAGGAAATCAACATTTAGCAAGGGTGAAAGTGCTTTCAAATCATGCAACCTAAAGTCCATGTTGTAAGAGCATCTAGTCATAGTCATTGGGAAATTTTATTCAGAAATTAAGAATGACTGCAGAAATATGGCAAGCAGGTAGAATCCAGCAGAGGCATCCCCAGGATCCACCATTTTTGTCAAAAAGTTGAATGCAAGATTATTCCTGCTTCCACAATGCACATACAATACATCCAAGAGAATAACTGTTTATTTGATTTGATTGAACAAATTGGTTTTTAAGCTTTAGCATCATAAGACCTTCTTTGCTATGAATTTCAAGAAAAAAATCAGCATTTATTATATGTCTGTCTGTCCCTCAGAATTGATGAGACTTGAGTGACATACAAATTTAACAAATTATTACTATTAATTATTAAATATACATACAAAGGCCTCTGTAGCGTGAGAGCTGTTGATAAATCTGCTTCATGCGTTCAATGTTTAGTCGACTGGTCTCTGCATGGTTCACCATGGGTTTGGGATAGTCTACCCCAATTATACATTTTGCTGCCTTTTGAACTGACTCAGAGGCATTCCAGGGCTCGTAGATATAGCGTGATGGAAAACCTTTCAATTGGGGTAGATACCGCCTATAGAATAAATCAATGAGGACTACCATTAATTATTTTAAATAATTTATATATGTAGCCAGCCAGCCCAATTATGTAAAGTGTATGTATTCTTGTATTCTTATTTAATTTTTTTTTACTTTACTTACGCAAGGCAGCCTCTGTCTGTGAACTGACAATCAAAAACTGTGCCACAAAAGGGGAAAAAAGGGGGGATAACAGGAAAAGGAAGAGTAAATGTTCATTTTGGCTTTAGTGTGACCGAAGCTTTGATGGTATCAACCCATATGCTCACCTAATGTAGTCACCACTGGGATCTGTACGACGCCCAAAGCCAACAGGACAGTAGCAGTGGAAAAACTGCTGGAAGAATGCACTGCAGGAAAGCCACATCCAGCTACCTGCATTCACACTGAAATCTGCATCCAGAAGCAGCTCATCAAATACCTGTGGAAAGGGAAAGAGAGAAAATGTGAGGGAAGACTTTCGCAGTAAGCTTGAGTGGTCAGAATCAAAGACTCTGTTTAGTGGCTGGTACAATTTTGACGTGTAGAAAAGAAACAGAATTTTAGACCATGTTTGTTGCTGATCTTATATCAACTGTTTTGGAAGCCTTGTCAGCTGTACAAAGTTCTGATGTTTAGTGACCCTGATTCTGGACAATGTATCCAATTAACTGCTGTGTATTTTATTTTGTATATAGATATATTTTACTACTTTCCTCCCAATGAAGCCAAGAGCAATGTGTACCATGTTAAAGTATTAACACATATTTTCCATAAAATGGCTTGATTAAAACAATCTGTGTTAAATCAACCTCTATAAAATAATAAAACAGTATTATTTATAACAAATAACATATTTATAACAAATTTAGATTCAAGACAGTCTAAAAAACAGCCTGATCTTGGGGCAGTTGTTACCTTGCAAATACATACTGATATGATATTTTGAATTGGGCAGAGGAGAGGTGAAATGACAGAATAGAATGAGCTGAGCCCCAGGGAAAAAAACCCCAAAATTGAGGTGCCACCATCATTGAGGCCCTGGTTCTATCCACCATTTTGCAACCTAGGCCTTCTCCTACTGATCTTAGTGCAAGGGTGGAAAGCAGGCCTTTAAATACCTGTATTCTGAAATTCTTAGTAAGACTGTGCTATCCTTTGAATTTGAAGGCACAAATGTGCTTCAGAAGCACTCAGGTACTGTAGCATCTGTTTGCAATTCCTTAAAATAGTTGTCCCTTCCCTAGGATTGTACTGCTTCCAATTGCGGTACAATGTGGTAAAAGGTTTAAAGAGTTTAAATATTTAAGGAGTTGCGGATAGATACTACATTAGTGTCCCACACATTTCAAAGGATATTTTTGTTACTGAATCTGAAGCCCTGCACTGCTCTACTACTTACATCTTTACTGACTAATGTCAACACAACCAGCCAGTGCAGCACATACTTCAGTTCCATACTTTCTCAATTAACTACCCCAGTAGTTAATTGATCAGTTGATTTCTGCAGCTTGTGAACTATTTTCTACGGTTGCAGTAATTCAGTCATGGAATTAACAGAGCCTGATTCCTGAAAATAAGCTACTGTATTAGGCTCCACTTAGGCAGAGTTGGCACAGCAGTGGAAAATGGATATTATATATGTGTGTGTGTGTGAATAGAGCCATGGTGGCACAGTGGTTAGAATGCAGTATTGCAAGTTAATTCTGCTGACTGCCAAGAGTTCGATTCTGACTGGCTCAAAGTTGACTCAACCTTCCATCCTTCCGAGGTCAGTAAAATGAGGACCCAGATTGTTGGGGGCAATATGCTAACTCTTAGAGAAGGCTGTATAGCATTGTGAAGCAGTATATAAGTGCTATTGCTATATTAGCACCATGAACTAAATATCTATAGAAGCCTAATGCCACTAAACTATACTCCAGTTGAATTTGGTTTCTGGGAATTTGCCTATATTTTCTGCTAAGATGTTATTTTCAAATCTTTCATTCACTCTTTCATTCCTTAAAAGAGACTTATCAACAGAATTCTCTAAGACAGTGTTTCTCAACCTTGACAATTTTAAGGCATGTGGATTCAACTCCCAGAATTCCACAGCCAGCATTGCTGGCTGTGGAATTCTGGGAGTTGAAGTCCACATGCCTTAAAATTGTCAAGGTTGAGAAACACTGCTCTAAGAGAACACTTTCCCTTTATAAGAGAATAACTGTTTCAATTCCTCATGACCTATATAACACCCTTTCTTAAATCATCAGCATCCTCGGAATTTTTTATCACCTCCTGATATGACTCACCCTCACTCCAGATTCCCAGCTGATCCAAAGGTCACCTCTGGTTAGAAAGCAGGCTGCAGCATGCCGGGCCAGGTGGTGAATCCAGCCTTCCTGTCTCAGTTGGGTCATAATTGCATCAATCCAAGGGAAACCTGTCTTGCCTTCTGCCCACTTTGCCAAGGCTTCAGGATTCCTGTCCCATGGGATCTGGATGCAAATAGGATTTCCTTCCATGCGATCAAATTTAGGATTATTTGTGGCAGCTGTATAAAAAAATTCCCTCCAGAGTAATTGGCCATAAAGCGACAGAGGTGGAGAGCTGTTCCGCTTCACCTAAAGAGGGCAAAAAAGATCATGCTCTATTGGATGAATTTCTGTCAGTCACCAAATGAATTCTGAGGTAATTTTGGTTCCAAATTAAACTATCCAGGGAATCAAGTTTTAGGAAATTTTTAACAGGAGAGCCTAGTATTTTGAGGAAACATCCACTCAGGGAAAAAGGCATTTAGGACCAAGCCTATTTAGAATAGAACAGTCCCACTAAATTCTTCACCAAATATTAGATAATGTGATAAGATTATTTGCTTTAAATCTTTTTTGTCTACTGGAAAGCAGGACATTCAGAATAATAAAAGCAAAGCAGTTTAAAATATTTGATGCAAAAGGTAATCCTATGAATGCATGTCTAAAAGGTATGAATTGAATAATTGTAGACACACCCACGTTTAGATTTTATGTTGTTGTTGTGTCCATATTTCCTTATTTTCAAAAAGGACTATATAATACAATTGTTGCTTTTGTTTATTTGTATCCCATAGTTACTATTTTTACAAATAACTCAAGGTTGTGAACATATCCAACACACTTTCCTCCTCCTGTTTTCCCTATGATAACCCTATGAGGTAAGTTGGGCTGAGAGAGAGTGACTGGCTCAAGGTCACCCAGCTGGCTTGCATGGCTACAGCAGAACTAGAACTCACGATCTCCCATTTTCTAGCCTGGTGCCTTAATCACTAGATCAAACTGGCTCTCATTTTATCATTTGTATGCATATTTGTAATTTTATTTTACTTATATTTGTAATTTATTTTACTTATAATTCAATCATATACTGTAACTTAAAAGCAGCCTAAAAGATACGAATACTCTCAGGTAAGGTCCAATACTATAATGAAGTAGAAATAAGACTAAAGGACATAATACCTGGAAGGTGTGCATTACTACAAGTAGAAATAAGTTGGGAATTAATATATTATCCAAATCATTTCATTTCCTGATGTTGGCAAATCTTCTTTCCAATTCTCATTTCCTCACCTTTTTGTAAAGTTCCCAAAGCCGATAATAGAATAAGCGACAAGACAAGCAGCCAAACCGAAGATAGGGACTCAGCCCTGTGGGGCTGGCCAATAACGAATTGGCATTCATCCTTGGCCGTTCATAGTTTGCAACCCATGCCTTGAAGATATTGGGACAGAAAAAAATAGAAGTGAAAATAAATAAATAAATAAAAATAAAGAAATTATTTCTTAATTTATAATAAATTTATTTTTATTATAATTAATAAAGAAGATTCAGTGTTTCTTGATTAAAAATGTTGCTTGTTGTTATGAACAAGCTTATAAATATCTTCAAATATGTATGCATGGGAATAGGAAAGACATCTTAGCAATCCAAAAATATTGTCAGAACCTGTAGCAATATCTGGCATAGAATACCTGACTCAATTTTTTTTTAAACACAGGCCCCTTGTTTCATCACAGAACTAAATTAATCCCTATGGTTTTCTAACAGAACACGATTTCTTGCAACACAACCTCCAGTTAAGTATCTATGATAGAAACAATATGAAAAAAGGATTTGAGGAGAGGTAAGCACAAATATTATTTTGGATTACGATATTTCTCTTAAGATATTTCTCAGCCATTACAACAGAAGAAGGATTATATGCATATTCATTAATACATGGCACATTTTTATCGCAAAAATATAAGGCAATGCAGCTTGTTCTAAAGTCAAATGACTTAGAACAGTGGTTCTCAATCTGTGGTCCGCGAACTCCTGGGGATCTGCGATGTCATCACAAGAGGACTGTGAAGTCTTGAAGAAATGCTATGATTTAAATTTTGAGTTAAGTCTTGGGGGTCTGTGGCCACAAAAGGTATTTAAAAGGGGGTCCATGATGAAGAAAAGGCTGACAACCACTAACTTAGAAAACATAATCTTTCCCTGAAAGGTAATTTTGCAAGAAAGATAGGGATGGTTACCTTTCTTTCCAAATGCTTATCCAGACGAGTTAAGGCTTCAGTCTCCCCTCCCTGCCAAACAGCTGGAGCAAGTCCCTCAGTGGGAAACCCTGAGTGAAAAAGGAGTGCATCTATTAAAATTCAGTCAGCATGATTAATATCTCAAGCTGTCTCAGAACTGCTTGCTGCCATGTTTGCTAAACCACATGCAGAACTGCTTAACTTAAAATAACTTAACTTTGAAAATGGAAAATGAACAAGTTAAAGAAACAATGACAAGATGGGCGAAAATTTTTGGATACAATATAGAATTAGAAAAATGGCAAAATTTATGGGAAAGAAATTACAAACTGACAAGGTAAACTTCCTACAAAGAACATTTATATAAGATGTTTTATAGATGGCACTTGCCACCAGCAAGACTAGCAAAAATGTTCAAAAACATGTCAGATAGATGTTGGAAGGCACTTGTTATCATGTTTGGTGGACTTGTGACAAAGTAAAGAGTTATTGGAAAAAGATACATGCCTGGCTAGAAAAGATGTTGGGAGAACATGTAGATTTTAAACCTGAACTTTTTAAATTAGATATAATGCCAGAAAAGACTAACAAACAAAGCATATATTTGATTTTGCATGTCACAACAGTGGCAAGAATTATATTTGCACAATACTGGAAAAATGAAGGAATACCATCAGATGAAGAAATAATTTAAAAAATACTAGAATGCACAGAGATGGATAGACTGACTATGAGACTGAAAGAAAAAGAAGAAACGGAATATTATCAAACTTGGGACTTATTTTATCGATGGCTAGAGGAAAGAATAAAGGATTAGGAATTAAATATGTATTAGCGAATGTAAACTCAGACAGCACGTTTGTTGAAAAATTATTTTTGAATGTATGGAAAAAAAAAACAATAAAACTTTTACAAAAAATAAAATAAAATAATTGGAATGAGTCAGAGTACATCTTTAGAAAAAAAAAAGAAGCCTAATCTGAAACATGCATGCAGACAATGCAGCTTATGTTATTAAAACAGAGAAATATCTTGCTCTTTTTGAAAATCCTTTTATTATAGGGCTTTAAAAAAAAGGCCCATATGAAAAAAAGGTAGGGGGTTAGGAATCAAAATGGCAACACTCCAATAGAAAATCCTGGTTTAATAATGGTAATTAGGGATTGTAAAAAAAGCCAGAAATTTCTAGGTGCAAATATATACAATAAGAAAAAGAATTTTAAAGATCAATTTTCAATTGAAACCAGATCTTTTCTTACTGGATTAATGAATAGCCAATTAGAAAATAGCCACAGAAGATTATTTTTCTATTACTGCTGTGAAACTATTATATGCACAAAAATGGAAAAAAATCTGAAATATCCACAATGGAGGAATAGTTGGTGAAGATGACAGACCTAGCAGAGAGAGAAAAATTAACTTGTTTGTTTCCAGAAAGATCAACAACTACATTTATCAATGACTGAAAACTCCTTATGTTGAGTTTAAGATATTATTCCACCATCATTTTATTATGTTTTTATTTTCTGTTGCAAATTTCCCAAGCCTTTTTTTGAATGCTGAGATAAAAAAAATCACTAATAAACACTGTTTTGCTCAATTATATATAAAAAAATGTCTAGTCACTCAATTATTAAAATCTATATAAATAAAAATGTAAACGTTCGTTTGTTCAAAATCTTAAATCTCCAAAAGTTCTTCACCAATTGCTTTGAAAATTTGGCATAACTTTGCATTCGAATACGCGCGTGTTTTTATATACCTATATTATATAGATGTCACACCTGTGACAGGTAAAAACATGCTTTTTTTGAAAAACAGCGCCATCTCTTGGACGTAAAAGCATACCCACAAGCATTGTGAAATTAAACATATTACAAACGTGCGCTTTCTCTTTTCTTTCTTTTCCATTTAATCAAACTGAGCCACAGCAACGCGTGGCCAGGTACAGCTAGTGTATAATAAAGTATAATAGACATGAATAAAACAAAACACATTATTTTATTGGAATTTTTGGAATATCTTATTTTAGAATATTGAAATAAGTTAAAGGTTGTTTTTTTTAACTGTTTGCTCAACATGAAGAATAACTGTAATGACCTAATGGAGGATATTTATGTAGCTGCCTAGAATCACAGAAAAGTGAGATGGGCGGTTATATAAACAGAATGAATGAACAAAATAATATGGGCACCACTTGAGGACCTGAAAGGATGGGTTAGGGACAGTTCATCCTGGAAAAGGGCTATCCATGCTAAGAGTTAACACCGACCTCATGGCATATAATCAATTAATCAATGGACAGTTGATCAGTTCATTTTCTCAACTTCAGAATGTATGGATAATCTGAAGATTGCTTTGAAACCCAAACCAGATGAGATTAAATAAGGAAAGCACTACAGCCCATCTAGGAAGTGTTCCAAACCCACCAAAAATACCTAGTTCCTCTAAAGATGGCACTCCATAGGTTTCATCATGGTTCTCTTGGATCTTTGTCTGGCACATCTCCATTTGTTGGCTTGTTATGGTGCTGACCGGCTTTTTTGGCAGGTCCATGCGACTAATGATGGCCTGAAAACGTTTGTAAGTGAGGGGTGGTTTATGTCCATTCAGCTCAATGATCCTGCAGGATAAAGAAACAACAGCTTTGTTCCATGAGATGGGCAGGGAAAGTATATTGTCAAGATCTTCCTTCCTTCCTTCCTTCCTTCCTTCCTTCCTTCCTTCCTTCCTTCCTTCCTTCCTTCCTCCTTCTTTCCTTCCTTCCTTCCTCCCTCCCTCCCTCCCTATTTACTTGCTTATTTATTCAAATTGTTCCCTTCCTTGTTAGCCTTCTACAGGTAGTCTTCAACTTACGACCACAACTGAGCCCAACATTTCTGTTGCTAAGTGAAACATTTGTTAGGTGAATTTGCCCCATTTTATGACCTTTCTTGCCATAGTTGTTAAGTGAATCACTGAAGTTGTTAAGTTACTGTCTTGGTTGTTAAGTGAATCTGGCTTCCCCGTTGACTTTGCTTGTAAGAAAGTCGCAAAAGATAGCCACATGACCCTGGGACACTGCAACTGTCATAACTATGAGTCAGTTGCCAAGTGACTGAATTTTGATCACATGACCGTGGGGATGCTGCAACAGTCGTAAGTGTGAAAAATGGCCATAAGTCACTTTTTCAGTGGTGTAACATTGAATGGTCACTAAATGAACTGTTGTAAGTTGAGGACTACTTATATAAGGCTTCATAGACCTGCCTTTTCCCTCAAACATTAGAGCTGGGAAGTTAGAGGAATCTGGTTGATTTGTCTGTTTGCAATTGATCTGCAAGATGGAAGGGGTTTTTTGGAACTCAGATGCATTATATTATTAAGGTCTGTTAGTTGAGCAACCACGACCAACAGCTGCAGGACTACTGGAAGAAAAATTGTTTATCCATCACAAATATAGAAAGACTGAAAATAAAGAAATTCACCAAGGTGAATCCAGTATTCCTATAGAATCCTTCTCATTCTCAACTCAATGAAAGTTGAGACTAGCATGTCTTTACCTATGTATTTGGTGTTTGACTCAGGGTATTAAAAGTGGAATGGTAAAAAGTTTACAATGGCAGCCTTTATTAAAAACAAAGCAAGAGAAGTCATGGAATGTATATCTCCTCTCCCTTAACATTATGCAATATATTCAAGGATTTTGACTGTACATTTATGTTGTTTCTTTTTTTAAAAAAAATAGCAGAAAGATATTTTAGGTGTTTTTTTGTAGGAAGTACTGTGTACATGTGATCATGAATAATTCAGATAACTTTTTTGTGAACCTTAAAATAATATTTTAAAAACTGAGTCTGCATCTGATTTTTAAATTTTATTTGGCTTGAGTTAAAAAAATTTGAATGGGTTGCGTATATTTCTCTTCCTTCCAGTCTAGATGTAAAGGGTTACAGTCCTCCCCCTCCATATCCTTATTCCCAAGAGGTAGCACCTTTATACATATTTCTGATGCCAATATGTATATGAACTACTGGAGATGCAAGAGAAAGCAAACCTGTTCACTGACAAAAAATAAAAATAAAAAAATAAAAAATGATTCTTCCTTTTTTTTTTGTCATCATCTGTGATTTGAGGGATTTGTTGGGGATATCTGTTTTATTTCCAGATATCTATAGTTTACACCCTCTGAATGCTATGCATATATATTACAGTGATTATTATAAATCTGTACTGTACTGTAATGTACTGAATATAAGACTGTTTCATTGAAAATACCCATAAGAGGAATAGAATACAGTCTATTGTCTGAAACTAGAATGCATTTTGCTAATATTTAATATTTACATATTTAATATTTAAATGAAAGAATTCCATTTAGTTCGCTGCTGAAGAAGTCTGGACTTTAAATTTACCTTAAACTTGTTTCATCACACTAAATGATGTCATTATTTGAATTTTTTTTGAATGACCTAATTCAGCATATTGAAACTCAAGTACTTTGGCCACCTAATGAGAAGGAAGGACTCATTGGAGAAGGGCCTAATGCTGGGAAAGATTGAGGGCAATAGAAGAAGGGGACGACAGAGAATGAGGTGGCTGGATGGAGTCACTGAAGCAGTAGGCGTGAGCTTAAATGGACTCCAGAAGATGATAGAGGACAGGAAGGCCTGGAGGAACATTGTCCATGGGGTCGCGATGGGTCAGACACGACTTCGCAACTAACAACAACAAATTCAGCATAATGTCATAATTTCAAATTTAATGGAGACTGGATTGACAAGGCATTGCTGCCCCCCAATTAAACTATTAAATCTACATTTCCTTGTACTAAAAAGCCTACTTCTTGAAAACCTGTACAACAGTTCAAAACCAAGAATAAAAAAGACATAATGAGCAATGCATTAAAGCTAAATCCGCTGTAAGTTATATTTTCTTTGAATAACATTCTAAGTTTCAGAAGCCTTTGACTAGTGGTTTGGTTGCCCCACTTTTATGAAATACAAAACTATCTTCACATAGTTCAAACTGGAATAGCAGAACAGGGAAAAAAATTATTGTGTAAATAGGAAAGTGTCAAAAGCATGGGGAACTACACTGAACAATTCTCTATGTAGTTTACAATTTTTGCTCCTGGTAGAAAATCCTGTCACCCATTTAACCAAAGGATGAATTTTCAATGTAACTACAGTAGTAGATCTTCAAATCCTCGATTCCTGATACAGTTCTAAAGATAAATGGTTTGCACTGAAGCAACAGATCTGTAACAAACTCCAGAATAAAATACAGCAGATCAAAGCAAAACAAGAAAGCTTAAAAGAGGAAAAAAAAACAGGCTAGAACAGGAAGAGTTAAACAGAAACAGCAAGAGTCAAGCTGCTGTCTTATATAAAATCTGAGGCAGCAGAACAGCTTTCTGTTCCTTCAGCCAATCTTCCTCGTCACCCATCTATGCAAACAGTGCTTTCAATCCAGCCATGTGCCTGACTTTCCTCCAGGGCAGCACATGTGATGGGGAGGAGCTCCACGTTGCTCATCCTTTTCAATCAGCTATGCTCACATGCGTGGCTTTGTGACCCAACTTTCTAACAATGCATAAACATCCACAAAGGGACTGTGTCTTTGAATCCAAGCGTCAATCTCTTTTCAGTTAACAAAGCTAAACGCAATCTTCAAAAATGAGTTTTTCTCTTGAAATTAGGTGCATTATAGACGAATAAGGATCCAAGGCAATGGTATGACTGTTGACTACAAATATGAAACCAGATTAAAGAGCATGTTCCAGATTCTGCAACTGCCAGCATATTGATCATGAAAATATAAAGTCAAAGCTTTGGCTCAGTCCTGCTTAACAGGAGTCTTTAGGAAAGCCTCTTTCAGGTGTAGCTCCCCAATTTTACTATGATGGACTATGAAAAACAAGCTTTGCTAGAATGCCCAAGCAATTCTAAAAATTAGAACTCTAGGAAAAAGTTTCTCCTTTTACAAGAGCAAATATGTTCTAGGAGGCAATAGCTAAAATAGATGAGTAATACAAATAATGTAAGCGTTTCCCATTTTGAAAGGGATACGAAAACCTCTACAGCTGAAGAAAGAAAAACTCACAAGTGTTTTTTCCCATTATTTGCAATATGTTGCTTCATCCACAGAAACCCTACAATAAAGCAGTACAAGGCTTATTTGATTACAGGTTTCAAAGCTGCAGCCTAAGCAGTTTCTTAACTGATTAACATTTAATACCGGTAAGGGATTGCTATTTTCAATGACCACCAAGAGAGAAATTTTCCAGACAACCCATCTTGGAGGGAATCCAATATTTAGACAGCAATACTTTATAAGCCAGAAGCATGATAAACTATGAGATGGCTTACAGCCCTGCACAATTTTAATATTGTGGTCTGCAAAACTTTTTTTTTCTCTATAATTGCACAAAGTAGATCATTTCAAGAGCTATGCAGGCCTAATCTGCATCAACGGAAGGTCTCACTCTCTAGATCAGGGGTGTCAAACTGCCAGCCCACGGGCTGGTTGCATCATGCGGAGGCCGCGCCCACCCCAGCTCCGGCAATGCAAAAAAAGTCACAACACGTTGTGACACGTCACGTGACGCAACGAGTTTGACACCCGTGCTCTATGAATCCTTCCCTATCCATCACTGCCAGTCAGAGAGAGGAATGCTTGAAAAAAGAAATTAAAAATCATTAAGAAATAGAAAGAAAAATATGTATTTTTATTTTCCCCCGAAAAAATAAAAAGGACTTCCTAATACATTCATTTTGAATGATACCTAGAACAAAGGTGAAAGAATCTATGTTTTCAACCTATGAAATCAAGAAATAAATATATAAAGAATGAAGTTTGTTGCAATGTGCTAAAATATACATCTTTCTCTCCATCCATCTACCCACTTTTTCTCAACCATTTCCCCCTGAAAATTAGTACTCTGCGTTACTGCTTGAATAAGTGGAGACCTTCATGCAAAGTAGGATTAGTTTCTTCTGTTTTCAGTAATAATTCTTTGCCTGTCTGCTTTTCCTGAACAAGCAGACATCATGAGATGTTCTAATTCCTCAACAATTCAGCAGCTTACAATGCTGTTTGTAACATTTATATGATGTTATAATAATGTTTATGGCATAGTATTAAGATGTTAGACAAGGAGTGGGATTCTGATCGACCTTCCAGCCATGGAAGCTTGCTAGCTGACTCTGTGCCTTTCATTCTCCCTTAGCCTAGTCTACCTTGTAGGGGTATTAGAACATAGCATCATAGAACTGGAAGAGACCTCGGAGGTCTTCCAGTCAACCTCCTGCTAAAGGCAGGAGTCTTATACTACCCCAAATGGTTGCCCAGTCTATTTTTGAAAACCTCCAGTGATGGCACACCCACAACTCCAGGAAACAAGATATTAATTATTCTTACTGTCAGAAAATATCACCTTATCCCTAGATTGGATCTCTCTTTGACAAAATTCCACTGTTACTTCTTATACAGCTTTCTGTTGCTTTGGAGAATAAGTCAGTCCCCTCTGTGACAGCCCCTCGGGTACTGGAAGACTGTTATCATGCCCCCCCAATTCTTCTCTTTAATAGGCTAGACATATTTAGCTCCCCCAACCATTCATCATACGATTTAGCCTCCAGA